TAAATCTCAGAGGGGAGGAGACAGTTAGATAAATTTCTTCAGTTATTGCCAGAGAAATACATGATGAAAACAAGAGCTGTCCGAATCAAGATAACTTAGAACCCCAACATAACTAAGTTAGGAAACAACTTCCTTCATTTATTACCCATAAACAAATAAACTGATTGTGACAAAGTAGGGGAAAAAAAAACACACCTTAAAAGTCTGATTAAATTGTCTGTCACAATGGCTCAACGCTTGTTATCTTAGCACTTTGGGAGGCTGAGGCAAGAGGATTACTTTAGCTCAGGAGTTTGAGACCAGCCTGGGAAACATAGTGAGACCTTGTCTCTACAAAATTTTAAAAAATTAGCCAGGCATGTTGGCACATGTCTGTAGTCCCAGCTACTTGGGAGTCTGAGGCAGACAGATCACCTGAGCCCAGAAGGTCGAGGCTGCAGTGTGCTGGGTTAGTGCCACTGCCCTCAAGTCCAGGGGACTGACTTAAAAAAAAAAAAAAAGCCAAATTGAACTTTTATGAAATTAAGTTTGTAAAAAGCTTAGGAAGCATGAAGCACTTGAATTAATCAATATTATGTTTATTGAGATTTCCAGAAATTCCAGAATATATTAAAATTTTAGATTTTAAATAAATGCTTATGTAAGACTAATTTATATCTTATATTCTTGATCTTTTACCTTTACCTGCTATGATACTAAGCAGAGTAAAAATAATGTAAAGCAATTGAAAAATAAACATCCTACAATCATCTTAATTTGATTTTTTAATAACTATGACAAATAGTTTCAGGGACCCCTATATAGAATATATTCCAATAATTGTTTGCTAAATTTGAATGTGATTTCCTTCAAAAGTCTAATGCGCAAATAAAGATAAGAACTTTTCAGTTCATAAAATTTTCAAGCCAGCTTTCCCTACATTATTTATCTTAAACACCTTTGCATACTGATTAGGCAAAGGGCTATTTTCCAGGCTAGAAAATGTTGTGCCTATTACAAATTAGCTTTTAAAAATCAAATTAGGCGGGGTGCAGTGGCTCACTTCTGTAATCTCAGCACTTCCCTCGGGCCAAGGCAGAAAGATGGCTTAAGTTTACGAGTTCAAGACCAGTCTGGGCAACATAGCAAGGCCTCGTCGCTACAAGAAAAATAAAAAAATTAGCCAGCCATGGTGGACACACTGTAGTCCCAGCTACTCGGGAGGCTAAGGTGGGAAGATGGCCTGAGTCCAAGAGGTCAAGGCTGAGGTGAGCGGTGGTAGTACCACTGTACTGCAACCTGGAGACAGAGTGAGACTACGACAAAAAAAAAAACATCAGATGGTTCAAATATTATGATTGAATGTTTAGAAGTAGAACATTAAGTAACTTACATTGCCAAAAAAGTTCAGAAGAGAAATAATGAAATAAGGTCACTATTGTACCACTCTAGGCCCTAGACCTTAAACTTGAAATTAGCCCAGAGGTCAAATGTTTCAAACCTATGGGCTGGCTATAAGAGCTGCAGTGAGACTTCAAAACTGTAGGCCGGGCTCGGTAGCTCAGCCTGTAGTAATCCCAGTGCTTTGGGAGGCCAAGGTGAGTGGATTGCAAGAGCAACTTGGCAAGACCTCCTCTCTACAATAAATCAAAAAATTAGCCAGTGTGGTAGCGCGCGCCTGTAGTTCCGGCTACTTGGAAGGCTGAGGCGGAAGGATCACTAGAGCCCAGCAGGTCGAGGCTGTGGTGGCCAGGCTCCTGGCCACTGCACTCCAGTCTGGGTGACAGAGTGAGACTCCAACTCAAAAAAAAAAAAAAAAAAAAAAAGACTTAAAATTATCTGAAGAAAAAAAATTAAAAACTCATATCCAAAAGATAGGCTAGATGGCAAAAAAATAAAAAAGATATACAGTAGTTACCTCTGATAAAGGAGGGAGTCTTGGCTAACTAATTTCCCCTTAGGGAGGTTTGAGACAGATTTTCTAAAACCTGAAGGAAGTTTTCAAGCAAGGAAGGCTGGAGAATAAGGGACACTAGGCAGCTCGAAGATGCTTGGGGTGGAGAGAGACAGCAGGGCAAGTCTGGGGAAAACAGCCTTTGAGTGTGTCTGAAATGCCAAGCACAAGGTAGGGAGTGGGGAGAATGAGCCAGCGAGGAAAGCAGAGCCAGACCCTCAGCCTAACCAAGTTCAGATTTGGTCCTAATGAGCTTTAGTCAGAGAGGCTGATATTGTGATGAGTGTTATACTTTTGTATTCTTTCTCATTTGACATTGTATTCTAAGCCCTTTCCATGTAATTAAAAATTTCTTAGAAGCCATGTTTTTAAGTGGCTGCACAATACATCATACATGATATTTAGTAATTCTATTATTGGAAATTTAAGGTACTTTCATTTCCTGGTATTTAAAATAGTGAACAAGTTGTTGATAAGTTTTTGGTTTCATCTTTGATGGTATCCTTGGGAATCTTATGTTAAAATGGGATTACATGGTAGCAACAGTTCAGACTTCAAAATTACCAATTTACATTCCCATCATGCTACACCTTGACCAAGAAAAATTACTTTTTATCTGTGTGTAACTGAGATGAAAACTGGCATCTCACCTTTTGAATTTACATTTCTTTCTGTAGTCAGATTAGAAATTTTTCATGTTTGATAACCATTTTATCTTTTCTGTCCATTTGTTCACCAGCTTAGAGGTGTAAACATTGCTATGTAAGACCTTTACATATTAGACATGAGTCATTTGCTCTAAAGATTTATCCCAGTTGGCTTTCAATCCTGTCTTTTGCCAGTCACAATTTTAAAGTCTTCAAATTTTCAATCTTACCCTTTAATTCATCAGTACACTCAACTAGTATTTATTGAACAACAACTATGTACAAGGCACTTTTCTAGACACATCACTAATGAATAAAATCATCAAAAACTCCTTGGCATGTGATGGTTTAGTGAGGGGAGATAGACAATAAGTGATAAGCATGATAAATAGGTATATGAGGAAATAAGTGCTACAGGGAAAAAATTCAGGGAGGTAGGCTTTGGAGATGGGGCTATGGAGGCTATAATTTTCAATAGTTTAGGGTAGGTCTCATTGAAAGGCAACTCCCCCCCCCGCCTTAGTTGACATCTCCTCTGTTGTCCAGACTGGAGTGCAGTGGCACAGTCATGGCTACTGCAGCCTTGACATGCTGGGCTCAGGCAATCCTTCTGCCTCAACCTTCCAAGTAGCTGGAACTATAGGTACACATCACCACGCCCAGCTATTTTTTAAAAAAATTTACTGTGGAGGTGAGGTCTCCCCATGTTACCTAGGCTGGTTTTGAACTTCTGGGCTCAGGCAATTCTCTTACCTCAGCCTCCCAAAGTACTGAGATTTCAGGCATGAGTACCTGACCAGAAAAGGTGACTTTGGAGCAAGGACTTGGAAAACAAGAGTTACTATGCAAATAATCTGGAGGAAGAACATACTAGTGAGAGGGGATAGCCAGGGCTGGAAAGGACCTACAAGCTGGAACATGCCTGAAATGTTTGATCAAAGAGGTTGGAGTGACCCAAAGAATGAAGTAGAAAAAGATGAAGTTGGGGAGATTAATGGCGTGTGTATGAAATCAGGCAGGCCATTATAAAGACCTGGCTGAAATGGAGGGCTCTGGGCAGAAGATGTAATTTGACTTATTTTTTTAAAGGCTTTGAGTGTTGTGCTGAAAATAGAATAGGGGTAGCAGGGAAGATGGTGAGATGGGGACTAATTCTGGATATATTTTTTAAAGTACAGTCAACAAGATTTCTGATGGATCAGATGCAGAATATGAGACAAAGGAGAGGAATCAAGATGACTGTTTTTGCCTGAGCAAAAGGAGAAATGGAGTTGTCAGCAAATGAGAAGAGGAGACAGAAAGTGGAATAGGATTTCTTTTTTTCTTTTCTGGGAATAGCTAAATTCCAGTTTTGGATTCGGTCAGAGATGTCTACTAAATATCAAGTGGAGATGTCAACTAGGTAGTTGAGTTTGGAGTTCAGAAGAGGTCTGGACTAGATACTTATCTAGGAGCCATCAGCATAGAGATGATATTAACAACTGTGAGTCTAATGAGACTAATCTAATTAGGGAGTGCGACTGTGACAGGAACCAAGGCCTGAGCCCTGAGGTATTCCTGTCTTAGAGCTTTGGGGTAAGAAAATGAGCAAATAAGAGACTGAGAAGGAGAAATGGTGAAGTAGGAGGGAGTCTAAAAGGGTGGCCGAGGAGAGCAATGGGTAAAACCCTGCTGAGAAAGGAAATAGGATAAACAGGACTGTGGATTTAGCAACACGGAGAGCATTAGTGATTTCTTCCACTGCTCTGTACATATGTATATGTTATTTTATTTCAACTTTTACTCACTGGTGAGATATGAGACATTATTTCTATTACTCAATTTTCCTAACACTGTTCATTACATAATAATCCGTTTCTTGGGCATAAGTTTGTTAGCCTGTGATGAGGAAAGATCCATATTCCTCCACCACTGCTCATTTTGGACTTATATTTATATGCAGTGAATGAATGGAATTGTGGCACAAATGTGTTCTTTTAAACAATCACATCTAAATTGATTACAATGGCAAAGCTGTAAGATTGTTACAAATTATTAAGATTGACTTTAATGTAGTTTATTCATTTTATGCATAGTATAGAGACAGTCATACTTTTAAGTGATCCAGGAATTATTCCCTTCTTATCAAATGTGTGGTTATTTTCCTCACGGAAGCATGAAGAAATAAAGGAAGGCATGGAAATGAATTTCTTTACATCTGTTAAATGAATTATTTCCCTTACTTGACTTTCAGGAAGACATACTTAAAAACAACTTTGAAATGACTCAGTTCTTACTCATCCACATAACATTTTCTGGACATTATATTTTCAATATTCCTACAAAAATTATTAAGCACAATTTTAATTAATTTATTTTATTAACAAATTTGATGTCATAATTTCAAATAATTATTTCATTTTGTTTTGTTTTATTTGCAGGCAAGTCAAATAGAAAAACCAAAGCCTTCAATTCAAATGCAGCATCAAATTCAACAAATGAAACATCCTATGAAGCTGATGATATAATTCAAGGAAAAACAATGGATTCAACACAAATCCATATTGCTTATTAGCTGAAAATTGTGTTTTAAATGCTCACTGGAGAGATGGAGCAATAAAAATAAAGAATGAATTTGAAACAGATCAAACAGTAATACTGGTTTTCAAAAAGTCACCACTCACAAAGCAAGATACAGCTACATTTGATCAGCCAAATAATTTATTAAACACACCAAGGTTTTTAATAGGTTTTCAAGTGCATAAATTTACTTTTATTTGCTAATCAAGATGTTTCTGCACTACATGAAATTATGCTAACTGTTCAGGAGAAATTAAATAATTTATCAATAACAACATAAGCAAACTGATCGTAGTAAAGAACAATGAGAAACTTATGCTGTATAAACAGCATTTCAAAACCTTCTGATTCTTACAGGCAATTATTTTTATATGAGATGGTAATGGATAGGTAAATCTCAGGGTAACTGCTTATAAACTAGAGGTGACATGTTCTTAAGTCTCTTAGAAATCAACCCAGGATTTTCTGGGCACACAAAAACATTGCCTTTTTAAATGCTAATAACAAAAAAACCCCACAATGTATAATCTACAATAAATATTTTCGGTTTCAAGGGATAGCCATAATAAAAAACACTCTTTTGCTGATATATTTCTTAAAATAATTTCTGTAATTAAAGTGATAAAACAAACGAGTTCTCTGGTCCAACCTGAGGCTATCACATTAATACCACCTAGAAATCTAGAAGTAAAACTTATTTCTGCAAACCCTATTTTTTAAAATAATTTTACTCATAAGTGTGGTTGCTATTATAAGAACATAAACCTGGTTTTATAATTCAGTAAGAGAAAAAGGAATAATTTTAAGTCATCTCTGCTGAACATATCTACTATGCTGTGTAAAGTTTTTGTAGTTGGATGATAAGCATTTCAAAATGTGCCAAATACAGCTTCTCTAGTCTGATATATATATGCCTTATTGTTCTTGGGGCTGCAAAGCTCAGGGTTGAAAACTTCATAATTAGGCTGTCAAAATTTCTACCAAGCACTGTGGTTATCCTCTAGACCAGCACTGTTTGAGAGAAGTGTCTGTAATGATGGAAATTTTCTTTCTGTATCTGTACTCTCTGAGACAGTAGTCACCAGCTGTAGGTAGCAACTGGGCACTTAAAATGTGGCTAATACAAATGAAATAATTTTTTTTCACTGATTTAATTAATTTAAATAACTACATGTAGCTATATTGACAGCATAGTTCCAGATCATTATTGCAACATTCTACTGACTGAGTTGAACTTCACATTCAAAAAGAACACAAATTTGCCAAGGTTTAAACATTAAAATTCCTCAAGGTATGCGTGAAGTTGGAAAATTAAGACATTCCTGTTATAAAAATGATGTTTTACATGATCATAAAAGCAGACACTTTTCACCTATTTTTGTAAAAGTTCATAAAGCTTTTGTGGGTACCTCTTGATTTTTCCAATTTTTAAAAACCCCAGAAAATGTGGTCTTGATACACAGGAATTTAATAATTATATTACTGTGTTGATCAGGTAAAAAAATCTAGGTTGAGCAAGTTTAGTTAAGGCACTGATACAGTTCTACTTTGTTGCTCAAGGGAGAGGGCCATAAATAGCACAAGGAGCAGGAAACTTAGCCAGAGCTAGCAAAAGGCTTACTGCCCCCCAGACTCCTCCCACCCTGTGGGAGAGGCACACCGGGCCAGGCATGGCCGGATGCATCATGGATTGTGCTCTAGGAGAGACACCCCAATTCTCTGCCACTCTGCATATTTCTAGAGTTGGGAGGAGACAATCAAGGTCAGAAAATCCTGGCCTTTGCAACTGGGGTGACTGTAACACTGGCATAAGAAACCTACTATTCTTGGATGCCAACTGCCCAAGAAGTTTGAATTGCTGCATTAGGATCAGCCAGAGTTCTTGAAACGTTCCTCACTGAGCTATCTTATCACCAGTTGTCTGAGGAAGAGTTATGGGGCTCATCTAGTGGACTAATAGTTGTGATTCATAGATTAAGATAAAATATTAAAAGCTGGAAGCCTTATCAAATTATAGCACAGTCTACACATTGAAAAATATTTTTAAATGATTTAGCTGGATCTAACAAATACTAAAATCATTATAGAATTTAAGGCAGTCAAAAATAACCTAACATAAAATATAAAACAAAACACATTTCAATGTATGAACATATGCATATAATTCTGGGGAGGGCCTGGTAAAGAATACAGTAGCTTATGTGTTTTTAGACAATTTAGGACAGTGTGTAATTTTTGGTAATAATAATTAAATCTTAGAAAGAAAGGTGAGTTTAGGAGTACAAATAACAGCATAAAAAATCAAATTATTTTCTAGATGATCTTCTAATTAAAGCAATTTCATCTTTTAAAAAATATAGGATTAATTGGGTTATGAAATGAATGAAACCGAATCCCAACAGAAGTCATTTCCTTCCTTAAAACTCTAATGGTGTCTCATTGCTCCCATAGTAAAGTCCAAGCTCCCAAACACGGAACATAAGACTTCCTTTTCTTGTTCTGGAGTAGCTAAAATGTTATTCTCAGTTCTTACCACTTCCTGCCTCACCTATGACACACCAGCAACCCCAGATTGCTTATAATTCTTAACACATATACAACACTACTTTTTTCTATATGTGATCTTTGTTTACAGTACCCACTCTGTCAGGAACTATTTTTAGAGGAGTTGGGAGGAGATAGTTGAGGTCAGAAACTATAACCCTCATGCTTATCTTCAATCAAAATCCAATCCAGGCATTACTTCGTCTGAATCAAAATCCAATCCAGGCATTACTTTGTCTGGGTAGCATCTTCAAATTTCTCCAGACTAGGTTAGGTGTCCCTCTGTGTTTCTATAAAGCCATGTTCAGGACAATTACTGCCCTCAACAGTGTGCTCTAGTATTTTTTTCCGACCAACTAAACCATAAGCTCCTTCAGGGAAGCAAATGTGTCTAGGTATTCAATAAATGTTCGTTGAAGAAAGTACTCAATGGCATTTTTATCAACAATTCTTCAATCCAGTTTACCATGGAATGTGATCCAGGGTTGTATAAATCTAGACAAAGTGAGTAGTAAATACAGATATATATAATATAATTATTTTACTTCTCATTTATTGATGTTTTGGCCTCTGAGAATAAAAGATGTAAATGAAGATGAGAACCAAAGATGTAAATGTATTAAGCATGAAGAATTAGGGATACCTCAGAGAGATATTAGCCAGATAACAGAGGATATGGAGAAAATGGGCAAACCATGTGGGGGTAGGTTCATCAACCCAAAAACAACAGCCTCAAAGTGTTCAGATAATCTGCTTACAGATGCAAATCTGATTACAGATTCTGTCTGCATCTTGTGAAAATGACTTCTGTTTAAAGAAGCTGAATGTGTTTAACAGCTGTATCAATAAATTCAACCTTTGCTATTATTGAATGCTAGCTGCTTATCTATCACAATTTATAAAATGAATAATATAACTTACAATTTACTAGACTATGGATAATCATATATATTAAAGACTAGATGTTATCTCAGAGATAATCTAGTATAATATTTTATTAATAAAAATGCCAAGGCCCAGAGAGGCTAAATGACTTTGTTGAAGGTCCAGGACTTCAACAAAGAGTGACTAGGACTTTGGGATATTTACTATTAAATTCAGTTTTCCTTTTGTTACATACTGCCCAGGATGGAATGTCAATAATTTTCTCCTAAAATGTATTATTAAGATTTGCATGCAATCTCAATAATAATAATATCATTTTAGAAGAAAACTAGTAAAAATAATTTTTATTCAGATGAGATATTTCATAAACTCTGCTGAAGTTATGGTAAATTTACTTAAGGATAATTCTAAGATTATTTCTGGGAAAAAATTACTGAGCATTAAAGTGTTTTAATTTGCATACTATATTAGTTAATGAGGGCTGACTTTTACTCTCCGAATCATTATTAATTGAACATTATTCAGAAAACAAATCTAATGAGCCAATTTACAATCCCTACAATCAACAGTAATAAAACTTACAAATAACGCAATTCATTGTTTCACTACAATTACTTTCATTTTTATCCCAGTGGGATGAGGCCATCCCTCTGTGTGTAGTATTGTCTAATCATTTTTAAAATTTTTATGTACGTTATTTAAAGCTATAGTAAAGTGAAGCAGTCGGAGTGGAGAAGCACTACTGCATGTGGACCAGCCTCATTTTTAAAAAAGCTTTTTCTAAAATTTATTGTAAAAAATTTATCATAACTGTCTTTTCATAAAATAAGTAATGAAGGGAAAACAAATCCTTAAAATCCTAATGGCTCTGTGTTTCTCTCCAAACTGACTGAATTATTTAAAAGAATTTCTTGTTGAGAGGGCCAAATGACTAAATTAGGTTACAGAAAAGCTGAAGGTGCAAGAGCTTCCATGGCTACAATGCTAGAATAGTGGTGTGGGTACAGCTTCTCTGGAACCTAAGCACGGGTAAGCAGGTGTTAAGAGGAGTTATGAGGCTCCCTGAGTCTTACTGCAGGTATTCTGGGTAGAGTGCCAGGTGAAAGAAGACTCAGCAAACCTTTCTAGCCTGTGAGCTAGAAATGTAATGTACTTACCTGATTTCACCGTTATGAGTTCATCTGCAGTCATGTCTGCAGGTTTCCAATTAGAACATTTTAAGTGCACCATAATGAGGTATTTGCAATCTTTGGTGCTGTGCCATGATAACTGGTTGACTTCTGATGCTTCTACAACATGATAAGTATTTACCATATTGGGCATAAGGAATACTTAAGTATTAAGCAAAGTAAGTAACACTGATCAATGTGAAAATAAAAATTTAAGAAACAATTATATCTACTAATTCATGTTTGAAAATGCTTACCCATATAATATTTCCATTATTTCATGATACAACTGCCTGGCTCTTAAGTTTTGAAAAGTACAGAATAAAACTCTTAATTCTAAATTTTTGTCACTACTCCTGAGGTTTGTGACTAAAGTAAAATACAGAAACATTCCAAACTGGTCATTTACAAAACCATAAGTTCAGTGTAAAATTTGCTTTAAAACTACAAATTATTTCAGACAAAGCTAATATATATGCCCACATTTATAAAAATTTCCAAATTACTCATAGAAACAAGCATCATAAAGTTTACATATAGAATACGATAAAAATCAGTTCTAATGAAGATTTAGCTGTCTTCCTAAATAAAAATTTCTGAGTCTGAGGTATCACTTAATACATGCCAATATGGCACATTTGTAAAACAACCCAGGAGTCTATCCTAAAAATCCTGACCAACACGGCATCATCTTTGCGAGACTTACTAACAGGCTGAACTAAACCTGTCTCTTTAAACAAGGAAGAAGTACTTAGTTGTTACAAAAACAAGGAGGCAGGTACTAGAAACTCTGTACGTCATAAAACAGTGAAGTTTTGTTATAAATATTTTAATCATCATCATTCTGCAGATACCATTCATTAAAAAAGTCCTAGTTGAGACCATTAAGCAGCTTCATCTTCTGTGATATATTTTTTAAAAGTCTAAGATTTAAGAACAGTGAAGAATTTCACTATCTTTATACATTACATCTTAGTATATAAAGCTATTAAATTTTCAGTGTCAAGAGCAAAACATTACCCCCTACTAGCTTCATCACTGGAAGGTGGTCACCTGATTCAGCAATAGTCATTAACTATGCTAGGTAGATTACCCAGATTACCTGTGTTGACTGTAGTGAAGTCATTTTACAATCAACTTATGAAGTAACAACAGTAGCCAAACATACAAAGACACACATGTGTTTAGTATGTACAAATAGCTATACTTGGGGTATGGCTATCAAGTAACAAGACTGATTTAATACTAGATAGTCATAGCACATTAAAAATATACTGCCAGAGGGATAATGGTCCCACATCTAAAAAATGTCTTTATGGAAAAGGCTATGATTTATTGCAAAGCATAATATATAGCAAATTCCAAGGAAGGGAAAACAATTTTTAAAAATGAATTTTTAAATGTAATGGCTTAAGCCAAAGTCTCAGTTACTTTTTGGAGAATTCAGAACTACTAGAGATGGAAGAATGCTTTTCCTTTTTTCTCTTCTTTTTTTCCTTTTTGTGATGCTTCCCTTTTTTTGATTTACTCTTTTTTTCTTTTTTCTTTTCTTTCTTCTGACATTTTTGTTTCTTCTGTTTTGAAGCATCCTCTTCAGTGGAACCAGATGAATAAGACCTATGGGCAAGAGTACACACTGACTGATAATTGCACTTATGACCGATAAGTAAAACTAAACAGAACTTGGGCTGCCTTAAGTTCTTCTTGTAGTAAGGTGGGGGTATAAACATAAAGAAACTCAAAATGTGCTTCATATATTTATGTTCTTTCAAAATGCTGAATTCAGAATTTTTGTGATTTGGTCACAGAAACTTACAAAACTAATATCTCTGTTCTGCTCAACCCTAGTAATGAGTTTTAATTTATTTTAAAATTATTTTCCTGTGGTTTTTCAGTTTTTCTTGGGGTCATACCCTTCAAAATCTTTAAGGCAAACCAAGTGGCATTTACCAAGCTAATGCACACAAATAAGCTGTATATATAGTAACTCGATAGTGTATTCTCTCAAAAGAGCCTCAAGAGGATGCAATTATATATTTATAAGAGGGCTAAAATTGTATTCTGGTATAAATGAATAAAAGCTGACAGTTAGCAAAATAAAAGCACTTTTGTTAATTGGTTTGATTTTTCAGGTTAAAGTACTTGATCCCTTTAGATGCAGAGTAATACAAATGAGTATTTGTATTTCAAAATAATTTTCATTAGTTACAAAAAGAATGCTTTTAAATAAATACTCTCTATAAATGGAAAAGGATAATTTATCACTGTGCTGTAAAAACAATAGTACTCTGCACTAAATTGGAAAAAAAACTGTAGAATTCCTTCTAATAAAAAAAAAAAAAAGGAAAAGTAATCTTTTTTTTTTGAGTTGGAGTCTCACTCTGTCACCCAGACTGGAGTGCAACTGCAGCCTCGACCTGCTGGGCTCCAGCGATCCTTCCGCCTCAGCCTTCCGAGTAGCCAGAATTACAGGCATGCGCTACCACGCCCAGCTGATTTTTTGATTTATTGTAGAGATGAGGTCTCGCTGCCCAGGCGAGTCTCGGGCTCAGGCAATCCGCTCACCTCAGTCTCCCAAAGGCGCGGGATTACAGGCTGAGCCACCGAGCCTGGCTGGAAAAGTAATCTTTTAAGATCTTATACAAAGAGGTATGCAATACTCTACCTGTACTGAGACTCAAAATATGTGTGACAAGACAGAAACGGAGTTAATTTAAGCTTTAAAAAAGGCATTTCAAGGGTTATTTAGTTCAGTGATCTAAATAATAGGAATTTAGGCTCAAACTAAGGAAGCCCAAGACAGACATAAAGGAGGTGCCAGAGTAAATGCATGAGACCACAGGGCTTCAAGGCCTTGTGTCTCTATAGTGACTTGCATAAATATTCCTTGACTGCCTTCGTCATTTAGTGACTCCAAGTTTTCCCTCATTCGTGTAATGTTGTATTCCTTTCTCCTCCTTGTCTGTCTATTTAGACTTCTGTCCATGTAAGCTTGCTTTCTCATGTATTTTTTGCTCCCCTCCCTCTTCAGCTGCTATTTGTTCTCAAACCTTGTCTGTTTTCTTGTTCTAAAGACCCTGCTTCACTTGACCTGACTAGAGCTTCTTCTCTGCCTGTATTTTTTTCTTTGGCTTTTGGTCCTGGATTCTCATTTTTAAGGGAAAATTTTAGGCTCTGACATAGCAACACTATTAGCTAGCATTGTCTCTGCTAAGTGTGGGGAACGTTCATTTATTTTCAGGTCTTTGAGGCTCAAGGCCTCAAAAGTATACAATGCTCCTTGATTTACAATGGGGTTACACCTTGATAAATTAATCTTAAGTTGAAAATATCTTAAGTTGAAAACACATTTAAATACACCTAATTTACTGAACATTATATTAATAGCTTACCCTTACCCACCTTAAATACACTCAGAACATTTATATTGGACTACAGCTGGGCAAAATCATCATCTAACACAAAGCCTATTTTATAACAAAGTATTGAATATCTCATGCAATACTAAATACTGTACTGAAAGAAAAAGCAGAATGGTTGTATGGGTACTCAGAGTAAAGTTCCTACCCAAAGTGTACGACGTTTGCACCATTGTAAAGTTGAGAAATCATAAGTCGAAGCACCATAACTTGGGGACTGTCTGTATTAGAATTTTTACTGGCACAAATCAGAAATTCTGAATCCTACTTTAATTAGTTTTTATATTAAAGATAATTATTTATCTCCCAACACTTGAAAGTGAGCTAACTTTTTCAATTTATAAGATACCACAGGTGTTAAAATATATATATTAAATACTGCACACAAACTACAAAGTGACAATACCTGTTTAATAGAACCTATTCAGTGAGAAAACTTAGTCCACACTAGCTATGACTATGGTCAAGTGACTTAAAGAATGTTTATATGTGTATATTTATGCTAGTATGAATGAAATTACATTCAATAACTAGAGAAGAAATTGCTACTTACTAGTTTTGATTAATTTCTTTAACCAGTTAGTTGCAGCCTTGACCTGCCGGGCTCCGGCGATCCTTCTGCCTCAGCCTTCTGAGTAGCCAGAATTACAGGCGCGTGCTACCATGCCTGGCTGATTTTTTGATTTATTGTAGAGATGAGGTCTCGCTGCCCAGGCGGGTCTCGAACCCACAGGCTCAGGCAATCCAGTCACCTCAGCCTCCCAAGGCGCGGGATTAAAGGCTGAGCCACCGAGCCCCCTCAGTTAGTTGTTATAGGAGTTAATAGTATAAGACAAAAGGAGGCTGATGAGGGCTGTGAAAGGCCTGAAGAAATTTTTAGCATCACAAGTTCTGTCAAATTCTATTAATTAAATTTCTTAGCCACGCTAATGCTATTACAAGAATACAAATATTTCTGTCAACTTCATATATATGCGGACAAAATATATGTGAAGAGTTTAGACTTATGTCCAATTAAAAGCCTAGGTGTTGTTCTACAGCTTAAAAAGCCAGAAAACAAACAGAATATGTAAAGGGAGGGAAATATTATTTATTTATACCTTGATTTGTTTCAAAAAGAAAATTTAAGGTGGATAAAGATTGACTTTTTTATTTTTGTTTTTGTTTTTTGGAGTCAGTCTCCTTCTGTTGCCCAGGCTGGAGTGTGGTGGCAAGATCATGACCACTGTAGTCTTGACCTGCTGGGCTCAGGAGGTCCTTCTGCCTCAGCCTTCCAAGTAGTTGGAACTACAGGTATGTGCCACCATGCCTGGCTAATTTTTTTTAAATTGCAGAGACAAGGTCTCACCAAGTTGCCCAGGCTAGACTCGAACTTCTGGGTTCAAACAATACTCTCTCCTTGGCCTCTCAAAGTGCTGGGATCACAGGTTGAGCCACCACAACTAGCCTTGAGTTTAGTTTTGATTCCTAACATGAAGGACTTTGTTATTTTACTAAAACAACTGAACATCTAACTCTCATTAAGAAAAAAATTAACATTAAATTAACTAGATTATATGTGAAAAACAAAATAACCCATTCTAAACTAATAGTCCTGCTTTATTTTTTTTTAATGCTATTAAAAAATACCTTTTCCTTTTTTTTTTCAATTTGATTTTCTCTTTGCTTTTTTCTTTTTTCTTCTCCTCTTCTTCATTTATTCCTGTGGGGGAGAGGTGAGAGGAAAAAAATCATGAGCTATATAATAAAGGATCATGCATTACATAGTATTCTCTAGCCTGTTTTTTAGAATTTGGTATGTATTCTTCTAGGCTTTCTCTATATAAAACCAAATATACGTACACTTTCTTATATATATGTGGTTGTATATAAGTTTCAAGTTTTTTCATCTTTGAAAAATGTATTGTGACATATGTAATATTTTACAATATATTGTTTCATTTAATACATTGTTTCATTGTTTCATTTCATATATTGTTTCATTTAATATATTGTTTCATTTAATATATTTTACAATATATTGTTTCATTCATTTATATTGTTTTCATTTAATATATTGTTTCATTTAATATTGTTTCATTTCATTTAATAATTTTACAATATATTGTTTCATTTATTGTTTCCCCTTGTCACTACACATATATTAATATCAGTATTAAACACAGAATAGCGAGCTATAATGTATCCATTTCTACTCTCATTCTTAGAAACAGTAAGCAATGGAAATCCTTACACATGCATACCTCTGCACATATGAGAAGTATTTCTGGGTGACAGAACTTATTTACATATATTTAAAGAAAAAGCATACTTAATTTTACTTGAATTTAATAGAATAAAATAAAATAAAAATAAAATTAAAGAAACAGATTTTCCATAAGAAAGATAATTTCTTGAAAGAACTCTCTAAAATTAAGAAAAAAGATTACAAAAGCTAAGAAGTTGAAGCTCTTTTTTAACATCATGCTTCAAATTTAGATAGCATCAACTGACTTCTGCTTTACATAGCTTTTGTAATTTTCTTAACACTAAACCTCCCAATTTTTAGGTTTATTTTTACATTGTCAAGGTTCTAAATATTTACATATCTGTCTGTGTGAGTGCAAGTATGTATTTATAAATATACACACCTGAGCTGTATATTTTTTAACTACAAAGCCAATATACATTCAATATAGATACTTTGTAAGTTTCAGAAAAAAGCATAAATAAGAGAATTACAGTTTTGTTATCAAGACTTCTTAGTAGCTGGAAGCCTTGATGTCACTTAGCAAAGCAGAGAATAAAGAGACAAGTTTGTTTCACACAATCTTAGAAGATTGTATTCACCATATTTTTATTCATTTAACAAATATTTACTAAATGCTTATGTACCAGGTACTGTGCTAGATACTGAGTCTTTGCTGTGCATGGTTCTTGCCCTCATGGAGCTTATAGCTAAGTGGTGAGAAAGAAACAGGCAAGCAAAGATAGCATTTGAAGCGAAGAGTAAGGACAGTGTGTGTCAGGAAGATGAAACAAATATCAAGAACCCAAGGCAAAAGAGTCCAGTGTGTTCTAGGAACTAAGAAGAGGCTGTTGTGGATAGGAGGGGATCAATATCATTAAACAACCATACTTCCCAAAGCAATCTACAGATTCAACACAATCCCTATCAAAATACCAACATCATTTTTCACAAAATTAGAAAAAGCAATCCTAACATTTATATGGAACCAAAAAAAGAACCCAAATAGCTAAAGCAATCCTAAGTAAAAAGAACAATCTTAAGTAAAAAGTCACCACATTGCCTGACTTTAAATTATACCACAAGGCTATAGTAACTGAAACATGACACTGGTAAAAAAATAAAAAATAAATCAATGGAACAGAATAAAGAACCCAGAAATAAAGCCACAAACCTACAAATAACTGATCAACAAAACTGCCAAAAATAAACAACGTGGAAAGGACACCCCTATTCAATAAATGGTGCTGGGAAAACTGGCTAGTCACATGTAGAAGAATGAAACTGGATCCCATACCTCTCACCATATACAAAAACTAACTGAAGATGGATTAAGACATAAATGTAAGACCTCACACCATAAAAATCCTAAAAGAAAACTTATAAAACATTCTGGACATAGGCCTAAGCAAAGAATTTATGATGAAGATCCCAAAAACAAATGCAACAAAAATAGACAAATGGAACTTAAACTAAAAAGTCTCTTTACAGTCAAAAAAGAGAGAGAGAGAGAAAACCACAAAAAAGTGAGCAGAAAACCCATGGAATGGAAGAAAATATTTGCAAAATATGCCCTAGACAAAGGATTGATATTTAGAATCTGCAAGGAACTTAAACAACTTACATAAGAAAAACTAACAACCCTATCAAAAAGTGGGCAAAGACATGAACAGACACTTCTCAAAAGAAGACATGCAAGGTGCCAACAAACAAATGAAAAAGTGTTCAACATTACTAATGATCAGAGAAAGACAAATTAAAACCACAATGAGACACCATCTTACATCAGTCAGAATACAAACCAGCTAGGGATGTTGAAATCCAGGGAATGATGGAATAGTTAAGTTCCCTTCGTCTTTTTGCCTCATCTCAAATCTGCAGGTGAAGAAGACAACAACCTGGAAATGCCAACAGTTACAGACAAAAATGCCCTGACAAAAACACATTATCTCCAGACAAAGGACCAAGAAAGGGGTAGCATAGCAAAATAAAAACTTTTTAGAAAATAACTGCCCTACTTCAGACAAACCCTACAGAAAAAAGTGTAGCACTGCTCCCACTCATGCCAAAAAGAACTGGAAGAGGAGCCTAGACTGCCACCCTTCTGAAGCTGTGACAAGGCCCCCAATACCCTTGCTTACATGTATCACAGAAATCCAAATATAGAGCCAAAACCTTCATCCCGGTCAATAGCAAGGTCTCCACTAATTGTGTCAGTGAAATGAAATAAAGGATTATTACTACAGACCTCACAGACATCCATAGGACAAGTGAACACTAGGAACAACTCTACAAACATAAATTTGACATATTTGACAATATGGATCAGTTTCTTAAAAATATAAATTATCACAACTCACCTAATACAAAGTAGGTCATAGGAATCCAATAACTACTAAAAAAATTTTAATTTAAATTTAAAACTCCCCCCAAAAAAACAATCTCCAGGCCTAGATAGTTCACTGGAAAATTTTATCAAACATTTATAGAACATCAATCATACAAAATATCATCCAAAAAACAGAAGAGGAGTAAACCCTTCCCAAAATCTTTTGAAGCTAATATAACCAAGTTATAACTCTCTCCTGAGAAAGAGAGACCAACAACTCTTATGAATATAAATACAAAACCCTTCAAAAAATATTAGCAAATAGAATTCAGCAATATATTTTAAAAATTATAAACCATGACCAAGTGTGATTTATTCAGGGACACAGGCTGGTTCATATTTTAAAAAGTAATATAATCAACCACAATAACAGCTAAAGAAGAAACATCACAATCATCATATCAAACAACGCATAAGTACATTTGGCAAAATTTGACACCCTTTCATGATAAAAACTCTCAAAAAAAAAGTAATGGGGGAAATATCTTCAACTTGACAAGGAGCATCTACAAAAAATTTAGAGCTAATTTTACACCTAAGGGTGAAAGTCTAAGTGTTTTTTCTGTAGGATTGAGATCAAGGCAAAGATGTCTGTAACCACCCTCTTTCAACATAGTGCTATTAAGTCCTAGTGCAATAAAACAAGAAAGGGATATAATAAAAGCATAGAAATTTGCAAGTGACATGAGTTTTACATTAAAATTCTCAAAGAATCTACAAAAATCTAGAATTAACTAATGAACTCAGTGAGAAGACAAGAAAAACATACAAATATAAGCTTTTCAGCAATGAACATGCAGAAACACAAAGATACAATATCATTTATAATTTTCCCAAAAAAGTGTTAATATAATAATAATAATATATATAGGACTTGTATGCCGAAAACCACACAGCACTGTGGAAAGAAATAATAAAAGATCTAAATAAACAGAAATACCATGTTCAGGGATTGGAAGATTCAACAAAGATGTCAATTTTCCCTAAATTGATATGTTGAATGCAAACCCTATCAAAATCCCAGCAAGATTTTTTGTAAATATAGACATTAGTCTAAAATTTATATAAAAACAAAAAGTAACTAGAATAGCTAAATATAATTCTGATGAAGAATAAAGTGGGAAGAATCAGTATCCCCAACTTAAGACTTATTATACACCTACATTAATAAAGACAGTGTGGTATTACTGGAGTGAAAGGCACATAAATCAATGAAACTGAACAGAGAATCCAGAAACACACACACACACACACACACACACACACACACACACACACACACACA